CTTCAATTAGATAATCAACTGTTTTGTTCTGCTTATATAAGTGTAAAGTGTTGTGAAGGAAAGATAAAATTCAAGCATTGGCCTAAAATAGAGAGTTAACTTCTACACTCATCGTGCAAAAGAATTTATACATTATTTGATTATCTAAAAAATATATAATAATTATTCATAAAAGAGTAGGATTGTCGGATTGGTCACAAAATAATTACCAAATATATAAACATATTAAAATAACATAAATTATCATTTTTCAGCCTTTTAACCAATATTCTTGAGAGTTCAACCAACAAAAAAAAATTAGCGTTTAGAAAAAGTTTAATTATGAAACTAGGCAAAGTCAAGTCATTTTACATAAATTTTAAGTGATAGAAAATTAAACCCTAATATCAAGTTAAAATCCTTTTTTTCCTTCCAAAATGCTTTTCTATTTAATTTGTAAGCAAACCTCCATGCGGTCAACACATTTCTCCAAGTTGATTCTGCTACACGACAGAGGTCTTAGGACCAATAAAAGAATGTTAAATTGACAAATATATTTTCCAAATAATGAAGCAGTTTAGAGTCTTTGGTAGGTGGAACTTCTTTTTTCGGGAGGTAGGTGGAATTTCATTCCAAAAATAAAAAATGTGTATTATTGAACAAGTAGCTTAATCATTCTATCTTATTCTATTTGTAGACACTAGGAAAAGAATCCATAGAGATAATAAAGTTTTCAGAAAGTAATTTTACCTGGTGAGATTTGGTTTTGTAGTTCGTTATTAACATTTATTTTAGTTACACAGTTCTTTTAACAAAAAATCAGTAAAAAATAACAAAAAAATCTGTCAACAAAATAATTAAAAAACTTTGTATATTTTGTTTTATTCAAATAGTAAGTGAGCGTAAGAGATTATATTCTCCTTAATAGGTCGCAACAGCTCCAAAAAATATTGGATCGACAAGCCTTATTAATTTTCTGCAAAATGAGAAAAAGGAAATATATGAATTACCTATCCGCAAAATGTTTTAAGTCTCCTTTTTTCGTTATAACATGCGCCTATTATCATTTTTTACTAAATTTCTTGTACTTTTATTTTCTCTATTTTTTTAAATTTTGACAGTTTAATCAAGCATTACTTCTACTTGAATATTCATCTTGAGGGTTCGCTTATGTTTATTTAGTAATTGGATCAATATTTATTAGAGTGAAAATAAAAAATATGGAGTAAAAAGATAGTGCATCGAAAAAATTGCATTTTTCGACAATTGTGATTTTTGTGTTAGCGATATAGCGATATGACTTTGGTGAAAAAGAATCATTATTGTTTGACCATTTGTGAATATTTACCCTGAATCTAGTAATCAAATACTAAAAATGACATTCTTGGGGAAAAAAAATCTGTATAAGCATTTTCATGTCATTCTTCTCTTCTCTTCTCGTTTCTAGGTCATCACATATAATTAGAAAAATTAAATAAAAACAAATAAAGGGAAAGATGAAGATTACATATAAATCATGTGAGTTCTAATCGAAAAGTAAGGCCTGCGTGTTGCTTTTTGTACAACAGATCAAGATCGCAATTCACAAAAATCATGCTATTTTATGCTTATTTCGGGCATATGTTGTTGTCTTGATCACATGCCACTATTTGACTAAAGAGGCAAGTTTAGTAATTTGGACTCTATTTTTTTTTTAAAGGGGATATACCTCTCCCCGCATTTATGGCGAAATGGCTCTGACTAAAACATTGCACAACTTTGTTTTATTAAACTAAAATAGTGCTGTGACATGGTCTTTACCCCCACATATAACCTAGGATTGTGCAAAAGCTCCAACAAAAGGGAATCAAAGCGGAGGGCAAAAAAAATAGTGTTGTAAAAGCCAACTTTGTTCTAACACTTTGGTATTTTGGGATTACGAACTTATTTATTCTTTTTCTTATCTAAAAGAGTCTTTCAAGAATCTAATCAACTAACCAACCCCACCGCCAAAAGAATTGTCATAGCCATTTCTAATTGCTACAAAGTCAGGTTCACATACCATTTACTTTTCACTCAGTATGGTTTGTTGGTCTAAAATTTGACATGGAATTATCGACGAGCAGTTCAAAAAAGATAATGCAAGTAATTCACATATAGGCATGCCATAAGCCCATAGCTATTTGGGATTCAGCCCACAAAGCATTCAAATTTTCAAGTGAGAATTGTAAAAATTGTACAACATCAGTCCCATGCAGTGGTAAAAATAGCACGGGCTAGCCAGTTTTCAGACTGGTCATTCAAAAATGGCTAGCATTTGCAAAGTCAATGAAAAATAGCTACTATTTTGCTGCAACACGGAAAGTTCCAGCACAATATACTGGAAATCGGTGCACCTGTGTATGAACTTCCAGCATATTATGCTGGAATTCCAACACGCGAAAAGTTCTAGTGTAATATACTGTAGATTGGAGCAACGGTATATTCTCTAGTATACCAAACTCTAGTATTTTATGTTGGACCGGTATATTCTACTGGAACTCCAGTATAATTCTAGTATATTATACTGGAATTCTAGTATATTATACTAAAGTATTTTCGGATTTTGAACAGTGTTTTCGTTCAGATTTATCTTTACATGAAAAGTGTCTAAAATTTGATTACTTTTGAAACTGTGACTATTTTTGAATGACCAATTATAAATCTGGCTATTTTTAAATTTCTCCCTATTTAGTGCTGACCAAGTCTGTAGTATGGCTAGTTTCTTTTCCTAAAGTTTAGGGGAGCTTGTTTAGTGGAATCTTGTTAGTGGTTTAGTGGAATTACAGGTTCAAGCTAATTTGTAAGCATGTATAAGGCCATCGGTGGATTAAATAAACTATCCAACTATTTTCTTCTGCAAAAGTTTCAATTCTACTTCCAGTTATTCTTTCTACTATTGAGCTTGCTATTCTATTTTGATTCTTCAAGAATAGCCTGTACCAACCAGTTTTCAGAGTGGTAGTCGAAAAATAGCCAACATTTGCAAAGTCCTTGAAAAATAGCCACTATTTTATACGGAAATAAAATATGAACAAAAATACCATATCTGAAACACGAAAAGTTCCAGCAATATGAGCTCCTGCATATAAACTTCCAGCATATTATGTTAGAACTCCAACACATTATGCTGGAATCTCATACGCAAAAAAATTCGACCTACATCATATTATGCTAGAATTTTTCGGATCTCAAGGGAGTTTTGTTCAGATTTTATCTTTACATGATAAAATAGTTAAATTTTAATTACTTTTGAAAATGTGGCTATTTTTCAATAATCAATTGTAAATCAGGCTATTTTTTATTTTTTCCCCAATTTTCAAGGGCAAAGATCACTTGTAGCCTGCAGCTAAAATTATTCACATTTGGTAGCCGCAAAAGTATATAAAGTGTGTGTATATATATATATAGGCTTTTATTTTGAGAGCGGCTATAACGACATTTTCCAGATTTTCAACAGAAGTGAGCGTTTCATCCTCCATAAAGCCCATTGTCAAATTCCATCAAACTTTTGGGATTATATCTTGTGCTAGAACTTTTCTAAGTATGAACAGCCTGACAGGTCTATTTTACACAGGTAACAGTAAGTTGGAACTTATTATTCACAACTTGTCAGCTTCATTAGAAGCCACTTGAACTGACTTCCACATGTTGAGTCCAGTTGCAAATATGGCCATGCAAAATAAAAGGTTAGAAAAGAAAAAATTTATGCACAAAAAGGACTATGCAACCTGCAAATCACCTTTACGGGCTCTTTTTCGTTTCCTTTGTTACCATCTCAGATTGATGGTCCTCCTTTACCGGAGTTGTATAGGTCGTGCAAACTTCCTTTCCTGGTACTTTAGTTATTCGATTAACAGACTCATCTACCATAGCAAGCCTGAACTTTCCGCGTCGCTTGAAGCCTTTCTTAGCAGCTAACAATGACTGCAATGGAACCTCGGAATCAGCGTCACTTGGTTTATGATCATCTCCTCCTACAGTCCCTGCAATACTATTTACATTGTTGCAAGACTTGGCTTGAAGTTTGTCTTTGGAGGGGCGAGGACAAGCACTTCTTGGCTTCACAGGAAGATTACCTATCGTCGAGAATGTGAGCAAGGAAGAAGTAGCTTTGTGGTAAGAGCTTTCGCAATGGTCCCGATATGCTTTAATGACTATGTCCCTGAGGGCCTTCGCTGACTTGTATTCTCTCGTCCTTTTCGAGTAATATACAATGGCATTAGTTGTTAGCAAAAGTAAATCTCTAAAGAGCTCAGCTGCTGATTTGATGGAACCGTTGGCTAATCCTAATCTTACTGTTTCAATATCCACATGCTGCCTGATAATATTCTTGTATCTAGTTCTCTTCTGGCTATCGTGACGATGCCTAAAGATCATAGCAACTTCGGACTGTGTAATAGAATTGAAAATTGCCATCAAATCATCGTCGTCCCTCAGTCTAGATAATCCTCCTTTACTATCATCAGAGGCGGTAGGCTTAGTACTTTGGTTGCAAATGGTTGATGTTCCTTTAGAGTGGGAAGTGGAGATGCCACTGATTGAACACACATTGTCACTTTCCCCAACACTCACTTTTTTGCTATCTAAAACAGCATCTTTACTTTTTCTTTTACCTCTTCTCTTCCTCAAAACCCCTCCATTTCCATTGGCAGTCTCTGCTAGCTCACAAGACTCCGACCATTCTAGCTTTTGATCTATCTCTTTAGTCGAGGCTATAGCAGGACTCTCAAACTCGGGTGAAAACTTGGTCCTGGTATCTAGTGTGAAGCTGCCAGCAGATACACCGTCTTTGCCAAAAGACTCCATGTATTCTGACTTTACAACAGCAGCGAGCGATTCAGTGTGACAAAAACCATAATCTATCTGAGCAGACCGCTCTCTCTCTGCCTTAAGGCTTTCAATCTTTGTGAGGAGAGACCTGAGATTTCACAATAAAATGGAGTTAGAAAACTTAAGTGAGAAAGGAGATAAGAGTTTGAATAAGAGATTACCTATAAAGCTGCAGAAATGAAAGCTACAGACTCGGTGTAGTCAAGAAACTTCGTATGCAAAGTATTTGAGTGGCACCAACTTAAGATAGAGAAGCAATATATATTTACTAACCCAATTGAGCATTCAGATTTCTGCAATTCTCGCTTCAGTTCTTCAACTCGTCGTCTTCGTAGCTCTTCAAACCAAGCACTAGGCAAAAGAAAGGTAAAGTAGCAGGGCATTGATTAGTGCAAGGATAATATCTTAATGAATGAGTTTTCTCCCAACAGATATTAAGCGAATGGAAAACATGAATTCAAGTCAAAGCTTAGTACCCTAGGCATAAATTCAAAAGGCTATTCTTTTGTCACGCGACAGCACTAGGTTATTAGTGCAGTCATAAGCTGAGATAACATAGGAATTATCTTGACTCAATAAAAGTGATCATAAAACATTCATAAGCATTTCAGAAGGCCACAACTGACATGGTTAGTGATTAAAATAAAGGGTAGCTCGATGCATGAAGCATCTCGCGTTTACGCAGGATTCAGGGAAGGGTCGCACTCCAAGGGGGTGTGATGTAGGCAGTCTACCCTGATGCAAGCATCAGTGGCTAATTCCACGGCTCGAACCGATAGGTCACACAAACACAACTTTACCGTTGCTCCAAGGCTCTCTTCAGGTGAGTGACTCATGCACAAAACTAAATTAGCTCATGACTACATATCAAAAGAAAAACTAGATTAGTTCATAAGCTCAAAGCACTTGACTCACTTGCAGCCAGAGTAGCGCTTTTGCAAATCCTCATACTTGGCTTTGCAGGCCTGCAATTTAGTATATTTTTAAAAAAAATCAGCATTTCATAGAGTAGAGGTAATAGTATGCTTAAAGATATGGATGGTGACGACAAGGGGTCAAGAACGTCAACGAGGCAGTAAAGTAGATTACTTGCAACCTCATTGGCTAGCTATATAGTTGATCGGCATAAAGCTAAATTTGTAAAGCTAGTTAGTCTCCTTATCCGGTTAATTCAGTGTAAGTTTTGTTCAAGAAATTATTATCTTTATTAGTTTCCTTGTACAGTTTAGCATATGTATTCATTAGTTACCAACAAAATCATCTATTTTTAATAGAATAAGTCTGTCACCAGGAATGATCTCCTAGAAAGAATAAATAACAGGCAGATTTAGAGGGGTTATGTGTGTTCAGCTAAACACATTGCTTTCGCCTTGAACTTTGTATACGATATAAAGGGTAGCCTGATGCATTAAGCTCCGATTATGTAAAGGCTCCCAGAAAGAGCCGGACCACATTGGGTTCTACGTAGGCAGCCTTACCTTGAATCTTTACATGAGGTTGTTTTCACGACTTGAACCCATGACCTCCTGGTCATACGACGGTAACTTTTATCTTCTGTACATATGCCCAAAAAAAAAAAGTTTTAGCATTTATGTTGCGCGGACTCTTCGAAATGTTGTCGCACCCGTGTTGGATCTATCCAATATGTACTCCTTTTGGAGGATCCGACACACACCCGACAACACTTTCGGAGAGTCCGAATAACATAGAATAAGATTGCACTAATTTTGCTCACGGACTCTAGACCTCGAATTTGCCCATGTGAAAAATTCAATCCCTATTAGGCACGCCCAGACCACCACTTACCCATGTTGAAAGTCTAATAGTAGCAACTAATCCCTTCTTTCCACTATACTAAAAATATATTTTCACTTTTATTTGTCTATTTTAGCAAATCAAGAGAAAATCAATTTTTTTTTCTATGTTTTACCCTTCTCTTGTAATAATCCTATATGTACTTTTTTTTTCCTTTCTATTCCTGTCCCTTTTATCTCCTTTGTTGGAGCTATTGCTTCTTTCGTGTGCTAACCAACTAAGCAACCCCTCTTGTCAATACATGTAGTTCAATTATCATTTTTTAAGGTGCGTGCCAAGTTACCGTGTACAAGTGAACAGAAGGACAATGGAGGACTCTAAAAGCGTTAAATGACAGAATGGAAAAGCACCTAATTAAATATGGTCAATACTTTATTTGGTAGCCACATGTTGATTGGTGACAAATTTTGGCTTAACTAACTCCTGTATGACGTACCAAAAGATTCACCCTATGTTCCACCATGCTAGAGAAAAAGTTTTGATCAAACTCTTCCCGCGCACATAATAAATTTCCTATCTGAATCCTGATGGCGACCCTCCACGTCAAAATACAATTTTTTTTAATTACTACACAAAATCGACAGACCATCCGATATATATAATTTATCGAATCCAAAAGAAAAAAAAATCGTTAATTTATTATTTTAACAGAGGATTACCCCATATTAATTTTCCTTACCTTTGTCTTATTCACTTTTTTTAGTTTTCCTACACATTGGAGATTTTTCTATCCCATATTAGGTTGGACCTCAAGGCTGAAAGTTTTTACACCATATGTCTAATGATTATAAATAGTTTTTACAACTATGTAGTTTTACGTGTTATAGGTCACTTATCATGTTTTTTAAGTTACTTTTACAATATTAGAGATGCGCAAAAAGACTGTTACAGTGCCTTAAAACTAGAATCTATTCTAAGCATTAATAATACTCCGTTGACTAATCCCAATTAGTCATTATTATTATGCATAAGGCCCCACGAAATCCACTAATACAAAAAAAAATCAACAGAAGAACAATGATTCTAACATAACGAAAACGGAAAAGGGCCAGAAATGGCCCTCTACTATCTAAAATAAGTCATATTTGGCCCCGTTATACTATTTAATTAAAAAAGTTCTTATCGTTTGTGACCAGAAATTAAAATGTCCCTTCACCGTCTACTCCGCCATTTAAAATTAAAAATATCCACTTGGCAGTCTTTGATTGAACGAATTAAACTCACCCCTATTTTTTAATTAACCCACAACCCGGTTCATTTTATCCGACCCACCCGTAAATCACTTAAAGAACACCCAAAATAGATCGGTCTTCTCATTCAAGAACAAAAGCTAGGGTTCTTCGAGAAAATTGATTCTTTAATCGGCAGCATCGACTAAGAGAAGGCTTTGTTGAAGAACCCTAACATTTGGTCTCGCGCTTTTGTTCTTGAATGAGAGGACCGATCTGTTTTGGGTGTTCTTTAAGTGATTTACGGGTGGGCCGGATAAAATGAACCGGGTCGTAGGTTAATTATAAAATAGGGGTGGGTTTAAATCGTCCAATCAAAGAATGCCAAGTAAATATTTTAATTTTAATGGTGGAGTAGACAGTGGAGGGACATTTTAATTTCTGGTCACAAACGGTAAGAACTTTTTTAATTAAATAGTATAACGGGGGCCATATATGACTTATTTTAGATATTAGAGGGCCATTTCTGGCCCTTTTCCGTAACGAAAAATCAGGTACTACGTACGTTAAATTAAAAGCAGAGAAGATTAGACCAAACAAGGCAAACAAAAGGATATTTGTCGTTATTAATAAGAATGGCACTTAACGTAAATTAATGTGAACCTCAGGGGTGAAGTAGTATGAACAGATGGTACGAGAACGCAGCTCCAAAGCGACGACGTTCCAATCTTGTGTCCCATGCCGGAGAACAGCGCCACCTAGGATTAGTTCTTCCCACGTACCCCACCTCCTTTTTCCCGACTCCACCACCATCGTTTCTGTCCTAACACGTGTACGACTGAGAACAGTTTGTTGTCCACGTGTACGACTCAGATTATTTGAAAGGTTAAAAATCACCACCAGAACAAAGTTTCGAATTTTAAACTGATCAAGCTCTTGTACCACGCGCACCCTGTGCACGTTAACATCAACGGCCGGTACCACCACGTCGGCAGTTTCTCCGATGGAATATAACCGGAGAAAAAAAGAAGAAGAAAAAGAAAAAGATCGTTGAATAATTGGAATCAGAAAAAGATCACGAGAAACGGAGGGAGAAAAATAGGGTTTTGTATAAAGGAAAATTATGAAAGGTTGAAAAGGTGTTTTTATTTTTATTATTATATCAAAGAGGTTTTTGTAAGATAAGAATAAGCGGGAGAAAAGGGATTGACGAATTTATGTGAAGAAAAAAGAAAGATTTGAGATGGAGAAGAGGGTGAAAATGGTTTTTTAGAGATTTTTTGTTTGACTGAAAATTGTGTACTTTGAAAGTTTGGGGGTGAACAGTGACTGTGAATTTAAATGACCGAAAATGTTTCTAGAATTTTCAAAATGACATGGATATCCTTGTTATGAGTTGACACGTGGCGGTACTTGAAGGGAACGAATTAAATATCCCAATCAGATTACTCGCGTTGATTACGTACTGTAACAATAACTAACTAGTGCTGTCATTATATCTGGACCAGGTGTGATTATGACATTCGGATAAAGATTTCGCTGTCCCTTTTCTGAATTTTTTTTCTTTTTTGAATTTTATTAAATACCAATTAAAGGCATGTGAAAAAAAATCGGATTTTAAAAACAAATATTTGAAAGTTGAATAATAAATATTATTTATATATTTGAATATGCATTTCACCTGAAAAAGAATATTACAATTTTTAGGAAACACAATATTATTTCAAACTTGAAATTCATCTTAAAAAAATTTCAAATCTTATTACTCATTCTATTTTATAATCGATATATTTGTTTCTGTTAGGCTCCTGTAGTTTTTCTTTCTAATAAGCATTATCTTCTCCAATAAAATAATGTGTTCAAATATAAAGACTAACAAATTTTCGTAACGGTAGCTTTACACCGAGATCGAGCAGTTCCAAGAAATAATTATAGCAAGTTTAGGAAAATGGAAAAAAGTCAACCTTCTTATAAACCAATAAAGAAGAAGAGTATTGCAAATAGAGAGAGTGCATATGTTTTAGAAATACGTATTTTGGTTGCCTTGTTAAAAACATTGCAAGGAAAATCCAGTGGGACAATACTTTGTAATGAAAAAAGAGTATAACGTGTATTAACTCCCCCTAATGAGAGCATCAATTCACATCTTTAAGCCTTTGCATTCCAATCTTGTTCACCATCTTCAAAAGATCGTTGGTAGGGATTCGATAAACAAATCGGCCATATTAACTTGAATGAATATATTGCAACTTGAAATCATTATTCTTGATAGATATATAATGTCTTCATATAATGTCGTGGAATGACTTTTCAATATCTCCATAGAGGTATTCCCGCTATCACATTATCATGCTTATACTTATAGTAAGATACATATGTGCACAAATTGCACTTAGGATGTGGTACTTCAGGACCAAAAATTGTATATGCTTTAAGCAATTTAAATCTTTTAGAGATTGACATATAAGCCATATAAATAGAGTTTATATGCATATCAAGTTTTCATGTCATGCTAGACATATAAGATAAATAAAAGTGATGTGCAGGTCCAAAATTATATGTCTTTCGTATGAAACAAATTATATTCGAATTGTGTCTCTTTCATTTTGTCAATATTTTTGTATCTGTATTCGACAGACTTAAAATCCTCATATATACTTAGCGCTATCATGGATGCCGTCGACAAACATTATATATCGGTTCCAATATTTTTTTCATAGAGACATAACATAGAGATCTCTTTATTCATTTCAAGTACCCCAATCTCTCCTAAGATTTTATGAAGTGTTATGTCATGTGATCTTTTAGATCACTTGCTTCCTTATGATGATTATTTTGATCATTTGCTCATCTTCTCTATCAAAAATTTTATTTGAAATCGATTTGTCTATACACTTTAAGCATACCATAGACTTATTCTAATAGGAGCATTTGCAGTGAGAATATAGTTACTTTCTTTGGGTCAGCAAATGCATCTGCCATGCTTTGCAATATATTGCAGACGAATTATCTTTTTATGAACTTCAAGTTCATATTATCTTATTCGGGGATCTAGATGTGGAAATGATAAATCTTTCTACGTAACTCTTCCTCAAATATTTATCTTGTCTCCCTCTCATGTTAGAAAGACTAACTTACTTCCTCAACTTTGGAAATTCACCTTTGTGCGTTATGGTGTTAATCAAAATATACACCGCACATCAATAATAATAATAATAATAATAATAATAATAATAGTAGTAGTAGTAGTAGTAGTAGTAATAGTAATAATAGTAATAATAAGATGGAATTATTTGGCTCCTGGCTATGAACTACTTGTAAGGGAAGAATGTAATATACTTTCATATATAACTTATATCAAAATGATATAGATAACTTTGTTCTCATAAAAAATAGTTTAGATATTAAGTGGAGGCACTCAATAAATTATTATGTTAAGCCAACTGTAATGTAAATCAACTTATCAAGATGCACTGTCTTTAATAGAAAATCTGAAAATTATGCTCCAAATTAAATATTGAGCAAGTTACCTCGCAAACACTAGGTTGCGGGTTAATAATAATCGCATATGTAACCATATCATAGATGCATGATGATGTGGTATACATGACAGGTGAATTAGTCCATATTCACCTTTGATATTTCTAACATTCATGGGATCCCAATTTTAGTTGGTCTATTAATTAACGAGAACAAACAATATAAGAGAATCCATAAAGAACTTTCTACTTCTTTAATATTTACCCATGTGAATTCTATTTTAATTTTTCACATCATACTTAAATTAATATGGGTAAACCAATTATCCCAACTGGATTAATTATCAATATTGATAAACTTCAGTTTTACACTATGATGTGTACAATTATGAGTAAACTTCAAGTTTATTATGATATATGTTTTTATATCAATAAACTTCTACTTTATTGTGACATTCTTTTGTTTGTGTCGTACAAACTAGAGAATAAAGCGGGTAGATTTTTACGTACATATTAACCCGCTACAAGTTGTAGTAATAGAAGATATTAAATTTTTTCTTTATTGATAGTCTCAATATAACTAATCGCTTTCATAAATACTTTAGAAACTCGATAAGTTTCTTTGAGACTTATTAAGACACCATACCTTATTGATAATCAATTTTATTTCTTCAAAGTAGTATAATTGGCTTTTCTAGAGCTTTCAATTAATTTGTACTACCACATATTCATTAACATCCATATGGTGAATATCTCTTTCAAAGAAAAAGTTATACCATTATGGTCATGATCAAAATCATTATAGGGAAGATATGTAACTTCCATTACTTTTACCTTGTAATAATCACATTGCCATAATTTTTTGACATAATCACAATAGGTATGTGATCAATGGTCATTCATGCCATAGTGAAATTATTTTCTTATTTCATCAAACCTCCTTCTAGAGGTGAGTGTGGTATATTCACTATCACTAGCACGTTCATATTCTTTTAAGAATGAATATGTATTCGTAAACCATATGTTGTCACATTCACATCATGGTTAGACCATTATCATCTATACGTGCTTTACAAAATCTCATGTCAAATCAATGACAAACATTACTTTCACAGAGTGAAGGATTATTTTGAGAATCCTTATTATTCTTATTACACAATGATGACGATTATAATTTCGTCTATTGCCACGCCCACATCCATTGTTACCTTCATGGTAATAATTTTGTTTTCTTTCAGGCTTATCACATAATGCTATCATATTCTCTTCAGGGAATGAAATGAAGCAAATTCAATGAGACGGGTTTTCACTTGTTGTGCCCATAATGATACATGAATTTGATAATGGCAAGACATGAAAATTTTACTACTTCGGGTGGTTATAATTTCTCACATACTCTATTAGAGTTATAATCAAAATTTATTATCTTTGCTTGTATTTAAAATTAAATTATAGAATTTCAAGAATTTAAAAGAGAAAAATAAAATAAAATACTTACCTTAAATTCAGAATAAATAATTTATTCCTGAAGGAAGTTTATGGAACAATTAACAATCATTATGCTCAATATTATGTACAAGTTGAGCACCATGTACATATCCCAAATTAAAATAACTGCCTTCTACTCGATTGATCAGAGTCTCGTGCTGATAACGTATTATAAAACAATAAAAGAAGAAGAAAAGTATTGCAGAGAAAGATAGAGAGAGAGTATTATTATTGATTTGGGATCAATTATAATGGAATAGAACCCCTATATCTATAGGGGAAAAGTGACTTAGTCACCAAATAACAAACCCTAGAATCTCTCTAGAATATAGACGTTCACCTTAAATACAATTCTATTTTTAACAAACCTAACATTTTTTTCTTTCTACTAGAGTTTGAACACTGTGCATGCATTTTAATTTTTTTATTCACTTTATTGACTGCTAAGCTATCTTTGAGTATGTTTACCCTCAAAATCGGATAACAATTGAATTTGTAAGTGGTTTTAAGGATACATGGATTAATTGATACAAAACGATAATTTAAATTGCAATTGAAATAAAGTATGATAAAGTAAATTCAAACCACACGAATTAAACAGTTATAGACTTGAGAGGTGGTCTACCCTTGAACAAAATATACTTTAATTAGTGTTAAGACACAATTGAATAAGACCTTTCAAGAGAAAATAACAGTATATTGCATCTGAATGTGTGTAATGATGTCCATTTACAAGTAATCAGACCCCCTTTATATAGTAGGGGAGTCCTACTTTAGGTACAATTTTATGTAAGGTAAAAATCTCCTCATTTGCTGATTTGCCGGTTCCTTATTGATACGTGCCGAGATTCCCGCCGTAATACTCGACTGGTCCCGGATACTTCGGCCTTCTGTTATTTCGGTCTTCTGTTGGTTATACTAGCAATGTTTCCTCGATCCCGTCCGGGGTAAGGGTCGATTTAGGGATAATGGACCCAATGTTCTTGAGGGCGGACATTCTGACCTCGTGTTCTGGTTCGATGGGACTCGAGGTCGATATTCAATTCCTTACGTTCCGAGCCCGATCTATCATGTAGTGGATAAGCCCGATTTCGACCGTATACAGATAGTCCCCTCATTTTTTTAATAGTAAACGACGAGAAACAATATGAGCTTCCGATTCTCACCTCGATATTTCATGTCAGAAATGACAATTGGACGAAATGTCTCGCTAGTCACGTCTTAATGGCATTAAATGCTTGTCAGTTGCTAGTCGACCACTCCTGGATTTGAATCGTCGTTTGGAATTTGAACCATCGTTTGAAAACGATGAATACCCCCTTCTTCA